TGTCATTGTCCTGGACACCCAACTGTCAGTCTGTTATTGTTCTGTATCTTTAACGGTGAACCTCCAAAATATTGGTGACCCCTTTATCTCAAGTGTAAGTCTGCCATTGCTTTGAATATACAAGTGCCAATGTGCTTCCTTCCTTGTTCTGGGTCCCCAGGTGTGGGTGCGTCATTGTTCTAACCCTCAAAAAAGTCCTTGTGTCATTTTTCTTGACCCCCAAGTGTCAGTGTGTCCTTGTTCTGGGGCCCCAGGTGTGGGTGCATCATTGTTCTGACCCTCAAAAAAGTCCTTGTGTCATTTTTCTTGACCCCCAAGGGTCAGTGTGTCTTTGTTCTGGGTCCCCAGGTGTGGGTGCATCATTCTTCTGACCCTCAAAAAAAGTCCTTGTGTCATTTTTCATGACCCCTAAGTGTCAGTGTGTCCTTGTTCTGGGTCCCCAGGTGTGGGTATGTCATTGTTCTGACCCTCAAAAAAGTCCTTTTGTCATTTTTTGTGACCCCCCAAGTGTCAGTGTGTGTCTTTGTTCTGGGTTCCCAGGTGTGGGTGCGTCATTGTTCTGACCCTCAAAAAAGTCCTTGTGTCATTTTTCTTGACCCCTAAGTGTCAGTATGTCCTTATTCTGGGGCCCCCCGGTGTGGGTGCGTCATTGTTCTGACCCTCAAAAAGTCCTTGTGTCATTTTTCTTGACCAACAAGTGCCAATGTGTCATTGTTCTGGTTTTTGAGGTGTCAGTGTGTCATTGTTCTGGTTTTTGAGGTGTCAGTGTGTCATTGTTCTGGTTTTTGAGGTGTCAGTGTGTCATTGTTCTGGTTTTTGAGGTGTCAGTGTGTCATTGTTCTGAACATCAAAAAAGCCCATGTGTCAATGTTCTTGATCCTCAAGTGTCATTGTGCCATTATTCTGGAACTTCCAAGTGTCAGCGTATAGAAGATATGGGTCCCCAAGTGTCAGTGTTTCAATGTCATGGGCCTTCAGGTATCAGTGTGTCATTGTTCTGGAACCTCAAAGTGTCAGTGTATTAAGGTTATGGTCCCTACATTTCATTGATTTAGGGTTCATTAAGTGGCATGGTTTCATTGTTGTGGGACCCCCAAGTGTCAGTGTGTCATTGTTCTGGGTCTTCAGATGTCAGTGTGACATTGTTCTGGACCCCCCAAAAGTCAGTGTGTCATTGTTCTGGGACCCCTCAAAAGTCAGTGTGTCATTGTTCTGGACCCCCAAAAGTCAGTGTGTCATTGTTCTGGACCCCCCAAAAGTCAGTGTGTCATTGTTCTGGGTCTTCAGATGTCAGTGTGTCATTGTTCTGGGTACCCCCCAAAAGTCAGTGTGTCATTGTTCTGGACCCCCAATTTTCATTGTGTCATTATGCTGGACCCCAAAGTGTCAGTTTATCATTATTCTGGAACCCCCAAGTGTCAGCATGTCAACAATGTTATGGGTCCCCCAAGTGTCAGTGTGTCCTTGGTGTCCTTGTCCTATGTCCCCAAGTATCAGTGTGTCAATATTATGGGTCCTCAGCAGGTCAATATTCTGGGTCCCCAAGTGTCAGCATGTCAACAATGTTATGGGCCCCCCAAGTGTCGGTGTATCCTTGTCCTATGTTCCAAAGTATCAGTGTGTCAATATTATGGGTCCTCAGCAGGTCAATGTTCTGGGTCCCCAAGTGTCAGTATGTAATTGTTCTGGATCCCCTAGGTGTCAGTGTGTTTTAGATCTGGGTCTCACAGGTGTCAGTGCGTCTGTCACATACCTGGTTAGTGAGTCTTTGCAGATGAAGGCCTCTTGTAGAGCTCCAGCTCAGGGACCACTGATAGTGGAACAGTAACCACGAGAGCACAGCGAGGTAAGAGTGCCTGATCAGTCCAGTGGTCTGCGTAGGTAGCAGCTGACACCTCGCTTGATGGGCGTCAGGAAACAGAGCCGCTGGCAGCAGGCAGTTATCATAGCAGGGCAGGCTGATAGTGGGTGGCTGATGGGCAGCAGAGGAACCAGATGAGAGCGTGCTGGACTGAGGAGCTCTAGCAGGCTGGAAGAGCAGGATACAAGCCTGGTCATTAGTAGATGGGCAGATCAAGCATGAGCGGCAGGCAGGAGAGAAGTCGGGTCACAGGCCAGTATCAGCAACGGTGGAGGCAGATCATGCAGAGGCAAAAGACAGAAGCAGAATTCGGAGAACAAGCCAAAATCAGGGCAGGTACCAGACAAGTGAAGTCAGGAGCAAGCCGGGCCAAGATCAGAGGTCAGACACAGGAATCAGGATACACACACAAAGACTGCAGACCAAACAGCAATGAGCCGATGCTGCAGTACTGTTTAAATAGGCCATTTGGTGCCAGTATTGGTGGCAGGTGCACGCCTGGATGTGCATGAGCATCTGTGCACATCTGTGCATATTAGTTCACCCTGCTGCCAGTCTGCGCATGTGAACATGTGCGCGGCTGGAAACACCATTTGCACTATGGACGAGCCTTCCCTGACACTGTCATTGTCCTAGACCTCCAAGAGTCAGTGTGTCAGCGTTATGGGTCCCTAAGTGTCAGTGTTTTATTGTTTCAGTCTCTAAATGTCAGTGTGTCATTGCTGTGGGTAACCAAAGTGTCAGTGTGTCATTGCTGTGGGTCCCCAAAGTGTCAGTGTGTAATTGATGTGGGACCCCAAAGTGTCAGTGTGTCATTGCTGTGGGACCCAGTGTCAGTGTGTGTCATTGCTGTGGGACCCCAAAGTGTCAGTGTTTTATTGTTTCAGTCTCTAAATGTCAGTGTGTCATTGCTGTGGGACCCCAAAGTGTCAGTGTGTCATTGCTGTGGGTCCCCAAAGTGTCAGTGTGTCATTGCTGTGGGACCCCAAAGTGTCAGTGTGTCATTGCTGTGGGACCCCAAAGTGTCAGTGTGTCATTGCTGTGGGTCCCCAAAGTGTCAGTGTGTCATTGCTGTGGGACCCCAAAGTGTCAGTGTTTTATTGTTTCAGTCTCTAAATGTCAGTGTGTCATTGCTGTGGGACCCCAAAGTGTCAGTGTGTCATTGCTGTGGGTCCCCAAAGTGTCAGTGTGTCATTGCAGTGGGATTCCCAAAGTGTCAGTGTGTCATTGCTGTGGGACCCCAAAGTGTCAGTGTGTCATTGCTGTGGGCCCCAAAGTGTCAGTGTGTCATTGCTGTGGGAAAAGTGTCAGTGTTTTATTGTTTCAGTCTCTAAATGTCAGTGTCGATGTGTCTGAATGTGGGACCCCAAAGTGTCAGTGTGTCATTCAGGTTCTTTTCCCAAAGCGCCTGGTTCACATGATGCAGCGCTTTAATTCGCAACGTTTTCTGTGCAAATTCTGCACCGCATCAGAATCGCAACCCCGTTCACGCTAACCAATGCCATTGTGTACAATTAAGTTAAAAACACGCTGAACGCGGTCTGCAAAATGCAGTGCGATGTCCAAATCGGATTGCATTTATTTATTTATTTCAGGTACTTATATAGCGCCATCAATGTATCAGGTCCCTAACCCTCGAGGTACATTCACATCTAAGGTCCCTATCCCACGAGGGGCGTACAATCTAAGGTCCCTAACCCTCGAGGGGCGTACAATCTAAGGTCCCTAACCCTCGAGGGGCAATACAATCTAAGGTCCCTAACCCTCGAGGGGCGTACAATCTAAGGTCCCTAACCCTCGAGGGGCGTACAATCTAAGGTCCCTAACCCCTCGAGGGGCGTACAATCTAAGGTCCCTAACCCTCGAGGGGCATGCAATCTAAGGTCCCTAACCCTTGAGGGGCGTACAATCTAAGGTCCCTAACCCTCGAGGGGCGTGCAATCTAAGGTCCCTAACCCTCGAGGGGCGTGCAATCTAAGGTCCCTAACCCTCGAGGGGCGTGCAATCTAAGGTCCCTAACCCTCGAGGGGCGTGCAATCTAAGGTCCCTAACCCTCGAGGGGCGTGCAATCTAAGGTCCCTAACCCTCGAGGGGCGTACAATCTAAGGTCCCTAACTCACATTCATAGATACACATACTAGGGACAATTTAGACAGGAGCCAATTCACCTACCAGCATGTCTTTGGAGTGTGAGAGAAAACCCACACAGGCACAGGGAGAACATGCAAACTCCAGGCAAGTGGTGCCGTGGTTGGGATTTGAACCAATGACCCTAGTACTGCCAGGTGGAAGTGCTAACCATTTAGCCACTGTGCTGCCCAGATGTGAATATCCATGCGATCTGATTCTATTGCGGACCCAAAAAAAGATCCTGCACCTTTTTGGTGCGGATGCAGTGCGATTAGAGCCATACAAAATGTACCACTCCGATCGCACCGCACACAAATCGCATGTGATTTGCACAGGAATGCGGTGCGGTTCCTGTGCGAATCACATGCGATATATTGCACCGCATTAGTGTGAACCTGGGCTAAGTGTCAGTATGTCATTGTTCTGGATACCCCAGTATCAGTGTGCAGTTGTTCTTGGACCCCCAATTGTCAGTGCATCACTTTCTGAGCAAAGTGTCAGTATGTCAATGTTATATGTGGGCATTTAAATACTGTTGGACCCTTAATGTTAGCTTGTTCTAGAACCCTAAAGGATCTATGTATAAAAATATTAATTGTGCAAATGTTCACCTTATATATATTTATATATAGCTCAGTAAGGAAAAATGTTGCATTATGGCCACTAGATAGAGCTGATGGTCGTAGAAAATAAAGAGATTAGACACGTTTTGTGTCTAATATTGACAGCCAAGAATAATAGGGAAATATCAAATATACACTTTTCCCATCACTCCACCCCCTGGCTCACAAATATCATGATAATGACGTATCCAATTGTACAACTGTATCCCCCGGGTAAATGTATCTTACATGAAAAATGGGGGATCTAAGGGGTTCAGGATGCTGGTATGGTGTATGGTATTGATCAGAACACTGGTGTGGTGTATGGCGGTGATCAGGATGCTGGTATGGGGTATGGTATTGATCAAAACACTGGTGTGGTGTATGGCGGTGATCAGGATGCTGGTATGGGGTATGGTATTGATCAGAACACTGGTGTGGTGTATGGTGGTGATGAGAACGCTGGTATGGTGTATGGTGGTGATGAGAACGCTGGTATGGTGTATGGTGGTGATCAGAACGCTGGTATGTGGTATGGCGGTGATCAGGATGCTGGTATGGGGTATGGTATTGATCAGAACACTGGTGTGGTGTATGGCGGTGATCAGGATGCTGGTATGGGGTATGGTATTGATCAGAACACTGGTGTGGTGTATGGCGGTGATCAGGATGCTGGTATGGGGTATGGTATTGATCAAAACACTGGTGTGGTGTATGGCGGTGATCAGGATGCTGGTATGGTGTATGGTATTGATCAGAACACTGGTGTGGTGTATGGTGGTGATGAGAACGCTGGTATGGTGTATGGTGGTGATGAGAACGCTGGTATGGTGTATGGTGGTGATCAGAACGCTGGTATGTGGTATGGCGGTGATCAGGATGCTGGTATGGGGTATGGTATTGATCAGAACACTGGTGTGGTGTATGGCGGTGATCAGGATGCTGGTATGGGGTATGGTATTGATCAGAACACTGGTGTGGTGTGTATGGTGGTGATCAGGATGCTGGTATAGGGTATGGTATTGATCAGAACGCTGGTATGGTGTATGGTGGTGATCAGAACGCTGGTATGGTGTATGGTGGTGATCAGAACGCTGGTATGTGGTATGGCGGTGATCAGGATGCTGGTATGGGGTATGGTATTGATCAAACACTGGTGTGGTGTATGGCGGTGATCAGGATGCTGGTATGGGGTATGGTATTGATCAGAACACTGGTGTGGTGTATGGCGGTGATCAGGATGCTGGTATGGGGTATGGTATTGATCAGAACACTGGTGTGGTGTATGGTGGTGATCAGAACGCTGGTATGGTGTATGGTGGTGATCAGAACGCTGGTATGGTGTATGGCGGTGATCAGGATGCTGGTATGGGGTATGGTATTGATCAAAACACTGGTGTGGTGTATGGCGGTGAGCAGGATGCTGGTATGGGGTATGGTATTGATCAGAACACTGGTGTGGTGTATGGCGGTGATCAGGATGCTGGTATGGGGTATGGTATTGATCAGGACGCTGGTATGGTGTATGGTGGTGATCAGAAACTGGTGTGGTGTATGGCGGTGATCAGGATGCTGGTATGGGGTATGGTATTGATCAGAACACTGGTGTGGTGTATGGTATTGATCAGAACACTGGTGTGGTGTATGGCGGTGATCAGGATGCTGGTATGGGGTATGGTATTGATCAGAACGCTGGTATGGTGTATGGTATTGATCAGAACACTGGTGTGGTGTATGGCGGTGATCAGAACGCTGGTATGGTGTATGGCGGTGATCAGAACGCTGGTATGGGTATGGTATTGATCAGAACGCTGGTATGGGATATGGCGGTGATCAGGATGCTGGTATGGGGTATGGTATTGATCAGAACGCTGGTATGGGGTATGGTATTGATCAGAACGCTGGTATGGGATATGGCGGTGATCAGGATGCTGGTATGGGGTATGGTATTGATCAGAACAAATATCTAAAAGTCTAAAAACATAAAAAAAAACCCAAAGGCTGGACTAACAAAAGAACACCAAACATAGTTACATAGTTACATAATTAGTCTGGCTAAAAAAGATAAAAGTCCATCTAGTTCAACCATTAAAAAAAAAAAAGTTATAACATTATAAACATTTCCTTTCAAGAATTTGAAAAGCACAGGAGTAGCTTTCTCTACCTTTTTACACAGATACACAGGGCAGGTAAGGGAAGGGTGATCTACACTAGTGAACCTCCTTGTTTGGTTCGTGGTCGAACATTCAAACCTACCAAAAGTTCAACCGAGAACTTCGAACCGGGACTATTCACTAAGCGGTATCTTAGCGCATCTGAGTATGTGATACCGCACAGCTACTAAAATACTGCATGTCATTAAGTCATGAGGTATTTTAGTAGTGAAACATTCTTTAATGTTTCAGCTGTTAAAAAAAAATGCGTGGGGTCCCCCCCCATCCATACCAAGGCCTTTGGGTCTGGTAGGGATTGTGAGGGAAACCCTCATGACAATTTTTTTTTAAAATGGCGTGGGCCCCTCCCCCCAAAACCATACCCTTATCCGAGCATGCAGCCCAACAGGTCAGGAAAGGGGGGGGTGAACGAGCGCCCCCTCCTGAACCATACCAGGCCCCATGCCCTCAACATCGGGGGGTACAAAGCACCTTGTCCCCGTGTTGATGGGGACAAGGGTGTCTTCCCCACAACCATGGGTGGTGGTTGTGGGGGTCTGCGGGCGGGGGGCTTATCGGAATCCCCCCCCCATGTGAATGAGTATGGGGTACATGGTATCACTACCTGTTCACAAAAAAAAAGTGTAGTGTAAAAAATGATAGGAGACAGTCTTTGATAAGTCCTTTATTAAAAACAAAAATTTAAAAAATGCCCCCCGAAGTAGATCCAACATTAATCACGATGCCCACCGCCACTGCTGACCAAAAAAAAAAATAAAGAAAAAAAAACTCTCCACTCTCCACACTGGCTCCTGCCGTCTGACAGCTGCGCTGGGATGACAGTTCTTAAATAGTGTGATGATGTCACAAAGGGTCACCCCACCCCATTGTGATGTCATCATGCACTGAGATTGGCCAAAGCGTAGCCCCTGACCTGTGGTCAGGTGCATTGCTTTGGCCAATCACAATGTACTGTCAGGGCGCAGTGCATTGTGGGGGGGTGCGTGGTGAGCAAACAGCCTGAACATGAAGCTCAACACTAATCTACACACAGGCACAGACTGCAACCATTGTCCATCAAGGAGCAAGGCAGGGGTCACCCATACACAGGCACAGACCCATGACACAGGAACCCATAAGAGTTCATTTACTAAAGCTGGAGCGTGCAGAATCAGGCTCACTTCTACATAGAAACCAATCACTGTGAATTCCATCACTCTAGAACATCCAGATATCACTATTATGATTCTATGATCCTCAAAATCATTCTACAATATCAAAGTGTTACTGCCTGTTCTATGACCCTCATGTATTAATGTCATCATTCTAGGGCATCCAGATGTCACTAATATTGTTCTATGATCCTCAAGTGTCAATGTCATCATTCTAGGACGTAAACGTGTTGCTGTTATTGTTCTGTGACCCTCAAGTGTCAATGTCATCATTCTAGAACATCCAGATGTTTCTGTCACTGTTCTTTGACCCTCAAGTGTCAATGTCATCATTCTAGGACATTAAATTGTCACTGTTATTGTTCTATGACCCTAAAGTGTCAATGTTATCATTCTAGAACATCCAGCTGTCACTATCTTGATCCTCAAGTGTCACTATCATCATTCTAGGACATCCAAATGTCATTATCATGGTTCTATGACCCTCAAGTGCCGATGTCATCATCCTAGAACATCAACGTGTCACTGTCATTGTTCTATGATCCTCAAATGTGAATGTCATTATTCTAGGACATTCAGAAGTCGCTACCATTGTTCTGTGAGTCTCAGGTGTCACTGTCATTGGTCTAGGACATACAAATGTCACTGTCATTGTTCTATGACCCTCAAGTGTCAATGTAAATATTTTGGAACATCCAAATGTCACTATCATTTTTCTATGCTATCATTGTTCTATGATCCTCAAATGTCAATGTCATCGTTCTAGAACATCCAAATGGCACTATCATTGTTCTATGCTATCATTGTTCTATGATCCTCAAATGTCAATGTCATCATTCTAGAACATCCATATGTCACTATCATTGTTCCATGGCCCTCAAGTGTCACTGTCATCATTCTAGAACATCCAAATGTCATTATCATTGTTCCATGATCCTCAAGTGTCAATGTCATCATTCTAAGACATTAAAGTATCACTGTCGTTGTTCCATGACCCTCAAGTGTCAATGTCCTCATTCTAGGACATCAAAGTATCACTGTCATTGTTCTATGACCCTCAAGTGTCACTGTTATCTTTCTATAACATCCAGGTGTCATGCTCATTGCTCTATGGCACTCTAAGTGTCATTGTCATCATTATAGGATGTCTGTGTGTCACTATCATTGTTTTATTACTCTCAAGTGTAGGTGTCTCATTGTTCTAGAACCCCCAAATGTCAATGTCATTGTATGGCTAGGACGCCAAATGTCAGTGAACCACTCTTCTAAGATGGTAGATGTTATTGTGTCATTGTTTAGGGTTCCCAGGTATAAATATTAGCATGAATTGTTCCGGCTGTACATATTGGAAACATTCTTATAATATGACAAAATCCATAAAAATAAAGCAAATGAACGAATGAGACAAATGACTCCTTGGGATATAAGACATTAGCCCAGTACACACATTTTCATACAGTCATGTGAGGTCAAAACACAATTATACCTAAATTACACAGGAGAAACCAGAAACTGAACGTCCTACAAAATCATCGCAGCAGGAAAAAAATTTGGAAGCGACACTATAATTCAGCCAGGTTATTGAGATTACATTAATATCAGGGTAATATACTTTGCAGCTCTCCAGGGAAACAGAAAATGGTCTAAAACATACTCAAGTTCCACCCTGCTATCACAACAAAAAAGAGCGTGAACACATTGCCCCTCTTAAGAGACCAAACTCTAGAAGAGTAGAAAAGAAAGTGTTATGTTTACACCATGAAATGTATCGTGTCGGAATTGGAAGAGACATTGGCAAATGAGAACAAATAGTGTTAAATCCATTAGTGAGCACACATGTTGTGTGCAAAATAATACAAAGTTAACAGCTAGCGGGGAGCGAGTGTGTGGGGATTGTAAATTTGATCCTCCCTCCCTAACAGCTCCTTCCATCATATTTTGCCAGATGCTAAAATTTGGCATCAACGAGTAACTTTTACTTAAATGTATTTAGCAGTTTATTCATTAGCAGGTTTAGAGGAATTTCATTTTTTAATCATTTTGCAAATCACAATTTCCTGTTTTAGTGTGCTCTGAGGATATCTGGGAAACTTCGCAGATTTCGAAGGCCGTTTGAAGAACTCAGCAAAAGTCAGCATGTGAACACAGAACATACCTTGTTAGAGATAATCACTACTTTGCTTTTAAATTTTCTTCACTTTTGGAAAGAAGAACTTGTCAGCCTTCAGATTAACACCAAACACATGCACAAAAATCCATGTGAAGAATTCTGGTGAAGAATTTAAACAGGGTCTTGACCCAACCTCTGAATGGACCTTTAGAAAGATCAAAAAGCAACTTTCTAAGCAGCTACATCTATGATAGCCAATGTCTGTAGTTTTTCATTCTCCTGTAAAGCAGACAATGTGTCTATTAG